CACTACTAATCAGGATAAGAATCACTACCAGTCTAAAGCCCGGACTCACTTCGTGATCAGCTGTAACCTAACACAAATCACTACCAAGGAAACAAAACTATCCACATCCAAAAAAACTACGAACTCAAAGTATTGGACTCCCGCAGTCAGCTGTAACCTAACACAAATCACTACCAAGGAAACAAAACTATCCACATCCAAAAACACTACGAACTCAAAGTATTGGACTCCCGCAGTCAGCTGTAACCTAACACGAATCACTACCAAGAAAACAATACTACCCACACCCACAAACACTACGAGCTCAACGTTTTGGACTCTTCACCTTCTCATCTGCAAATCTGAACTTCGTCGGGAAAAAAATGCACCACACTCCAATCAGAAACCAAAACAGAGCTAGCATCTGGAAACCTAGACACAACCTCTCTCAAAGACAGATCTAGATCGATAAAAAAAGAAATCAGAGCCGCGGCAGGGGCATGCAATGGCGCCTATGAAAAGATGGAAAGAAGATTGAAGAGATTTGACTATCAACTGAGGCGGCGGCCCGAGCGAAGACAAGATCGGTTGAAATCAACTAGCCACGACGAGTTCGGGGGAGCAGAGGGCGGCGACAAGGTGGGAGGATCGAAGGGCGGCGACGAGGTCGAGGGGAGCGGAGGGCGGCGTCGATGACTGCCGGCGACGAAGGCTCCAACGCCGGGAAGAACTTGCGAGAGCGCACGGTTCGTTGGGAAGAAAATGGGAAGAAAACACTCACCCAAAAAAGAAACTTCTCCCACCCCCAAAAACCCTACTAATTATACTGCCTAATAGTTAATTAACCAAACTTACAAAAATGCCCTTAGCAATATTACACCTTTTTCATTAACCGATAAAAAAAATATAAAATGTGGGTTAGCACTGTGCTAACGTACTATGGGGTTAGCACCCCATCCCAATGGAGGTGGATTCCTATGGAGAGGGGAAAGAGATCGGAGAATTTTTTTCATTTATTATTTTGTTAATGTAAATGGAAAAATAAATAAAAAAATCATTTAAAATTTCATGTCAAATGCCACATCAGCGCTTACTAGACATTCTGTTAAATACTAACGCGGCCAACTCTGACGGAAAAATAGTTCAGTACATAAATGGAATATTGAAAACAATAGCACACAAGTGGTATTTTTGGGGTAATTTGCAAGTTTTGTCACTGGGTTTATTCAAAACGTTCATGTTTAATCACTATAAATATTTAATTCCATTTAGGGTCACTAAAATTAGTTCAATAGTTCGAGTTTAGTCACTCTCCGTTAGTCTCCGTTAATTTTTGCTGATGTGGCAGTCAACCTTATAGTTGACCGTTAAATAAATGACGTGTCTATTAAAAAATAAAATAAATAAAATATTTTCAACTTTACACCTATTTTCGAAACTATTAAAAAAAGAAAAAGAAGATTGATATAGCTGGTACACTTCTTTTGTAAATGAGCTCCCCCATGATCGATTTCCACGACAGGATCTCGGCGGCCACGGCGACAGAGTTCGGCCCTCACAGTAACAATCTGTTCCTCGGGCAGCAGGAAACTTGAGGGATCCGCCTGGATACGGCAATGACGGCGGCGTAGGCGGCGGCATAGGCGGAGTTATGATAATTGTAATAGTAGTCATAAGGCGTCGAGTAGCATAGCAAACTGACGTTATTTTATCTTGATAATTCGTTATTTTATCGATTCAAGCAACAACATCACCCATGCTCCTTGCTCAAGAGGAAACTTGAGCTTCCCAAAAACGAGCATCGAGCAGCCAATAAGAAACATACGATATTTGGATCGCCAGAGCTCCGAAAGCCCAGAAACCCATGAGATCCAAATCACGATTCTTATGCGATGACTAGCCTGCGTTGGTTGGATTACGAAAACAACACCCCTTACCGAAGGGGCTAGGTCGAGGAAGAACGGGACTGGGAATTCGAAATCCATGGCGAAGAGAGGGATTCGCGATGGCTTCTCGAAGTAATATGACGAATAACTAAGAAATAACCCAGATCCCGCATATGTTGCCCCCACTCCCTTCAATTGAATCGAACGCGACGAGTCTGTGAGTTCCCATCGGCGGCTGCTCATTTGGCGTCCCCATCCACACATCCCCAATAACATCGTCGATGAGTACAAATCCCATTGGAGTCCGCCGCCGAGATGGTCGACGCATCGGCCCTCCGATCCATCCTCGAATCCGACGACATGGGAGGGTTGGGTGGTGGGGGTTTGGATGTTCAGCGGTGAAAACAGGGAAAGGGAGAAGCAGAGGAGGAGGGTGGATTTGGCATAGTTGTGAAAATGTGGAAATGATGTGGAAAATTTTAATAATTAATTTTTTTTATTAATTTGTAATTGCCACATCACTAATTTAACCGTCAATTATGAAGGTTAACTGGCACATTAGCAAAAGTTAATGAAGACTAATGGAGAGTGACCAAACTTGAACTATTGAACTAATTTTAGTGACCACAAATGGAATTAAATATTTGTAGTGACCAAACGTGAATGTTTTTAGTAAACCCAGTGACCAAACTTGCGATTTACCCAACATTTTTTTGATAGTTCGGGTATTGTAATGGTATTAACCCAAAAATAAATAGTAGCCACAAAAATGGAAATTGTAAATAATGTAAAGAAATTATTTAAAAAATCTGAAAATTTTAAATAATGATAAAAATTTATAAAATTGTAAACAATTATAAAAAAACATCTTAAAAATTCAAAAAAGTATTATAAATTAACAAAAAAATTAAAAAGTAGCCAAAATTAGAAAAAATTACTAAGAAAATTGTAACTAATGTTAAAAAATTATTAAAAATTATCAAAAAAATTTAATGCATTTGATTATCATTAATTGTATTTTTTTTTTTTTTTTTTTGAAGATGTCTAGACATGGAATAGACAAATCGTATATGAATAGGAAAAGAATGGAAGAAAAAATGGAAGGAAGAATGGAAGGTCGTGTTTGTAGACTTACAACGACTGGTCGAAAAGAACATGAAAAAAAAATCCATGTAAGGTTAGGGGGGAAGAAGAAGAAGAAGGTAGAAGTAGGGCATCCTGACAGTCGCCTTACTACGAGGCAGTTATCTCTTAGTCGAGATACTTCCTCCACCCCTTACACCTGAGGATGCGACGCCATGTGAGCCTAATTTGAGTGATTCGGTTACTATGGACGACGATAATGATGATGATGTGGACGTTGATGAGGTTGGGCATGTCCCACCTACATTGGGAACAAGACACGAGTTGGGACATCTTCTACTGCTTTTTCACACTTTCCACAGCTTGGGCTAGATGGATGCTACGTTGTGAGACTTAGTAGTGAGGAAGACGGTGATGGTAAGAAAAGGAAGAAGACACCAAGGGGAGACATGTTGTGGCTTCTGACATCGGATTCTGAGATGTGTTCAGGTGGACATGTGATTCCCGATGTGATCCCTAGCTTTGGAGGTCACCTAGCCCTTGTACTATGTACTTCCCCTGCGCAGGATCGTGGGTTTTTGGACTGCTTCCATAGATATGGTAGTGGGAAGCGAAAGAAGAACAAAATGAACGGTTTGTCACTGAGCTTGGTTAAGCTCTGCTATTTCACCATGGCACTGGAGCTACAGGTATAGGCAGTTGAGCTAGTATATACGGATATGGCATCTCCATCGATTTCCATATAGAGTAAATGCAATTTTCTCCCAACTTTGGATTTGCTGGAGTGGAAAATGGTTGTAGAGAGTAAATACAATCTTCTTCCTCCAGTTTTAAACTCTTGTAGGCCGATATTGTCTTCAACCATGGTGGTGGCTTAGAGAAAGAATGATATCACGAATTTGCCACCTGATTAGGCAATTCTGGCGAAATGTATGTTGGTAGAGAAGTTAGGCAGTTTTGTGGGTACTATGTTGAGGAGATCATCCGGAAGGTTTTGCCAACCTACCATTGTTGTTGTTTGTTGAGTTTGGAAGAAATAAGAATTAAAGATATATATCAAAAAGGTTAGTTTAGCCAAAATATGTGTTTGTTTTCATTTTCGTTTTTAATTATTTTTTTTGCAATTCGAACTACTTTTTTCTAGCACTTCAAAGTCAAGGGAGGAAGAGGGTGAAGAGGATCAAGTAGTTGGAAAAAAAGGGAAGAAGAAGAAGAGGGTTAGTGAATGATAAATAGTTGAGGGTAGCTATTTCGAATCCAGAAGATGTGAGGTTTGAAAATTTCTTGTCCTTGAAATCTGTCATTTTTTATTCCCTTCCCAAACGAGTTTTTATGTCAAAATTCGATAAATAGAGGCATTGTACAAAAGTCCTCAATGCAATCTCCCACCAACCCCATGAAAAATGAGTTTTTTGTGTGTGAATATTTTGGAATTGGATCAAAGGATGGCATACTAATGATCATTGTAGAATGAGAAATGTTGTCTAACAAAGGAAAAGGAATAGAAGAAGCAAATGAACAAAAAAAAAAAACACAACCAATTTCAAGGCCACCATATAGAAACAAGGAGCCAACAAATCCTAGTATAACTGAATTTGCTAAAGACTGAAATTTAGAGCAGATAAGGATACTGATAGAAGAGGCATAGCTTCGACCATCAAACAACACAGGTTCCAAACCGACCATCATGGTAGATTTAGCACAAAAGGCCACAAGAGCTATATATTCCTACAATATCAAAACAAGCGTTCATAACAACAAAAATCAATGTCACCGTTTCAATATCCCATTATGTAACTATCACGCAAAGATGAGAAATATTAGATTTCTGTGAGAGAAGAAAATTTTATTATATGACTCGTTATAGAGTACGTAGCCATGCAAACAAACAACATGCATGCCAGAGAGACAACCATTTATTCTAGAAGATTACATCTACTTTTATTTTAGTACGCCTATAGAGATAATATATGATGACCTCCCTTCCATATGAATGAGTGATACATCTTTGATTATTCGTTCATACTGATATCTCCGGTTTAACCGTTGCATTTACTTTGAAGGCAAGTTGTAGAGGTCACGGATGGCCTCGATCTCGATCCTCTGTAATTCCCGCTTAACTTGCCCGGGTCCAAAGTAAGGGTACATGACCGCTGCATAATAGTAGCTGTGAAGAAGCCCTAATGCATGTCCAATCTCATGCAGTCCAAGAGATTCCAGATCTACTTCCATTGGGCTTGGGTCATCGCTCCATTTCTCATCTGCGTCATAATGGATAAGTCCAGCACGGGGAGCAAACGCATGGGCCAAAGTCCCATTAGGCCCATCGAATGGAGGATTGTCTCCGTGGTCTCGAGAATAAAATGAAATCTCTACTTCAGCCTCAGCGGTCCTGCTGGCAACATACTCGAACGTGAAATTTGTTACATTCTTCCAGCTCTGGAACGCCTTATCGACGGCCGCCTTGATGGTGGCTTCCTTCAACCCGGCGGGAGGGCGGCTCTTGGGTCCGAACTTATATCGAAGATGGTTCTTGTTCCACTTGGGTTTGCCAGGGAAGAATCTATCATCACCAAATCGTCTTAGGGCCAAAATAACACCATGGTCTGAAACGCCGCACCTAGGGATCATCATTTGGGACGTCGTGGCATGGTCCAAGGCTCCCGAGACAGGGATGCGATAAGTTCGTTGGTATCGCTTGATTGCAGCCTCCAGGAACTCATCGAATTCGTCGTCGTCGTCGTTTTGGTCTACGTTGGCGTAGGTGTCCTTGTTATCATCGTTGAGGTAGTAGCCGAATTTCTGGAGGTACTGTTTCAGGTCACGGAGCCCTTCAATGGATTGGCCTCTGCGCGCACCTTTCAGTTGATGGATGAACCCAAAGGGGTTGTTGCCACTGATCTGGTTCGTGTGACCGACTGCGAACGTTGGTGAATTGATCACAACGAGTGAAACAAGGAGAAATGTAGTTGCAAGAACTCTCAAAAGCGTCATCGTTGACATATAGTAGATTCTTTTCCAAGAGCTTGTATATCACTGTGTTTTCTGTGTTTATGGTTTTGGATATGTTTTTGGAGGATTAGCGTTGGAACCTCTATTATATATAGCAACGGAGGGACCATAAAAACGATAGTTAGGACTGAAGGATGACACTGTGTGATTATGGGTGAGTGGGATTGATTAGGCAATTGTTATTAATTAGTTATGGCCATACCCTACTAGCTAACCAGTCTCCTGCTGCCATTAACTAACTAATAACAATTGCCTAATTTTACTTATGACATTTGATCTTTGGCTTGATATAATTTTGAATCATGTATACCACAATTATATAATCACCCAAAAAAATTATTTAGGGGTGTTTTATTATATAAATTAAATTTAATAAATAAAAATATCGAATTAATACAAATTATAATAAAATGCTAAGGCATGTATTCATATTATGAAAATTATAAAAAAAATTATCTGGCGACTACAATCTACAACAATATTATATAAAATACCGCTGCAGTCTAACAATTGGATTGAGAGATGGTTCATATATAGGAACAATTAAAGAAGAGAGAGTGAAGAGCAGGTGACCTTTTTTACTTTGTTTCATCGATATCAGAAGAATAATGGGGAACTGAGAATTTATTTTTTACATATCATTTGATATAAATGAATTTCATAAATTTTGAGTAATTCATTTTGAAAAAGAAAATTTTTTGTGCTCGGTATTTAAAAGAATTAATTTTCAATTCTAAATTTTGAATTCTATGGAATTGGAACTAGTTATAGCAATTCCGAAGAAATGAGATGGAATTTTCAAATGAATTGCACAAGTATTTACTAAGTATAATAGAATGACATAATCATCTTCTTTTATTAACTAAATTACTTATACATATGGCATACCAAACACAGGAATTCATTTGACAATGAATTCTACGCGGCAATTTATTTTATTTCTAACGATTTGAACATAACATACCAAACAAAATATTTCATTTGACAATAAATTCTACACGATAATTTATTTTAAAATTAATTTTTATTGGCCTTACTATTACATTTATATTTTTAACATACCAAAGTGCGTAGATTTCCATCACAAATTCTGCCACATATTATTTTTCATTCCGCTAAATTCAAACTACTACCATGGATCAATAATTCTGCCCACCCCCACTCCCAAATTTTAGAGTTATCCCGGACACTCCTAAAAGGGCATAGGTCCCCCAACTAGTGGAGGCTAACCGTTGGATTGGGGCTTGATTCATAAGAACGACCGAAGAAGAGAAAGTGAAGAGAAGGCGACCCTTTCTTTACTTTGCTTCGTCAATATCTGAATGGTAGGAAATTGTGAATTTAGTTTTTTAGTGATTGGATGAAAAAAATGGAGAAATTGATTAAAAATTTTAAGCTTATAATTATTACATTTATGAGTTTAAAATACTAACAAATTATTTGCAATGTAATGAATAACCTGTTTTTTAGTAATTGCAGTGTCTCGGATTTTAATCACTAAACCTACCACATATTATTTTTCAGTTTCCCCCAAATTCAAAACACTATAAGGGGTTGATAATATATTACCCCAAATTTTTAGTGGTGTCCTAGGACATTACTAAATTGGCCTGGGTCCGCCATCGGGACACACTACTAAAATACTTTATGATATATTTTTCTATACCACCATGGTGTATTGTGGTACACCATAGTAAATTACACGTTAATTAACATTTATTTAAAAATATATCAACGTGGTTTTAATTGTTTATAACACAATTAATATAATATTTCTCTATCGAAAAAATAAATGTAAAATCAAAATTAATAAGAATCAGATATATTCATTAAATTTTCATGGGGGTTAGTTGTCATGCACAGTGCAAAACTTTGAAGTTAGCTAGTTTTCTTTTTAAGGAAAAGAATAGAATAGCTAGTTAGGCAACAGTAATGGAGATTGTTTGGGTAGGGGTTAGGCAATTGTTATTAATTAGTTAGTGGCCGCAGGATTAAATAACTAGTAACTAGGGTTAATGTTAAGGTTAAGGTTAAGGTTAAGGTTAAAAGCTAGGTAGTAGGTACATTGTACCTATGATAATTGATTTTTGGGTTGTTTTGAGTGTGGAATATCGAGAGTGAAACTTTTAAATTGTTGTGTGATAGATTTTGAAAATGCTGTTATAGTATTAATGATCAAGTCTAGAAGAGTAATTGTAAACCTATACTTAACTAAACATATTAAATTGGCAAATTGTACTTTCAACATACAAGAGTAGAATATCAAAACAATACTTAGCCCATATTCTATTGGGTTTTGAATACTCACGGTTATCCATGAATAATGGTGTATCTTTATAAATCCAACCAACATATTAACAAAAACACATATTCTGAACTTAGAAAAGTGAAAATCACAACTTTTTTTTAATAACAACAAAAAATTATTAAAACATAAATATTAATTAGAACAATACAATTTCATAAAACTAGCATACGATAAATTGCAATATTGGTCATTGAAATTACTATTAAAAAAATCAACGAAAAAAGAAATTACTAAAAATTTCATGTTTGGTCACTAAAACTTCCATTCATGGTCACTAGAATTAGTTAAATACTTCAAGTTTGATCACTCTCTATTAGTCTTAGTTAACACCGTTAGTATTCTGCTGACATCATAAAAGAACACCGTTAGTGTTCTTTTATTAGTTTCTGCTAACAGAAGTGCCTAATCACCCAATTTTAACCCGCCATTATAAAACCCGACCTGCACGTCATAAATCCAGGACATCAGACACAATGCATAACAAAACTCAATCTAACCCCCTAACCCCACCCGAACCGCCGCCTCTATTCCCACTTACTTCTGTTCTTTGGGGTTTCTGATCAAAGGAAGGACAAGACAGGGGAGAGCACCAACTTATGTGGTTCTTTCTACTTCTTTCTCAACCACCTCTACCTAGCTTTGATCGGAACCACCAAGTTTCGTGCTCCTTTCAGTAGCGGATCTATCACTTCCCCAAACTATAAGAAAACTAGCTAACCGAAGCACCCTTCTGCTAGCCGGTTAGCTTCGGCTAGCCGGTTAACCGCTTCTGATTACTCGGCTAACCGAAGCACCCTTCTGCCCCTCCGAACACCGACCGATTGTTGGTTTTCGTCGTTTTTTGGTTAACCTCTAACCAATGGTTATTGGTCAAACCGAATGGTTAGCCGATAACCGACAACCGATTGCCCACCCCTATGTATATAGTAGAGTATGTTCGAGTTGAATATTGAGAACACCATGTCCAACCAACATTAGCAAAATTCGCGTTCAATCTTTACCCACACCTATTAAAAATCTTTCAGGTTCAAATTTTATCCTACACAATTAAATCGAACTATGCACCTTTCCTTCTGCTAATCAAGCTTCCATCCTCTTGTCTTACCATGGCAGTGGAGCTATGGGTACGGGAAGTTGAACTGGTCTCCCTGGACATGGCATCTCCAACTCGGAATCGACATGGAAGAACTCAATCTTCGAGGTCTTCAGATCAAACACACCAATATCACACCAAAGTTTCCTATCAGAACCACGACATTGTTCCATCTCCAGAAAGTAAATGCAATTCCCTCTGATCCCCAATTCCCACTCTGCTCGAACCGAAAATGGCTGCCCCGCAAACCATAGAAACACAGCAACCTCTCCCAATTGATCTGTAATCCCAACCCACCGCTTTCCCGCTCTATCAACTCTGTACACATCAAACCCGCAAGTTCTCGAGTAAAACCTGTCATCACTTTTACCACACTCTCTGTTCTCATGAACCAGCAGAATTTCCCCCTCAACTTCCACCAGTGACTTCAAAACTTTCCCTCTGTTGAATTTCTCATCCATACTCCCAAACGCCACAACCCTCTTCTTCTTCTCCTCTTCCTCCCTGCCATCGATATCGCAGCAGAAGAGCTCCCCTGTACTCATCAACACGTAGAGACACCCTTCTTCCAGGCTGCTGCAGAGTGCATCCACTATGTAATCCTTCACCCCAAATTGATACTCTGGGAATTCTAAAACTTTCCACTTTCCATCCCCAACCCTGCAATACTTCAGGTAGGTTTCAATAGGCTGGACGACGACGACGAACCAATCGGAAACAGAAACAGAGTGAGTACCGCTGCAGGGAGGAGGAGCTTGGATTGAGACTCTTCTCGAACGCCTGTATCCCCACAACAGGAAATCCAGGTGCTTGATTCTCTTCACCTTCTCTTCTTCGGGAAGAGCGAATTCTGAACCGGTTAGAGGGTTCTGCAGAGTCAATTTGCAATAGTAATCAAGAACAAGCATCCATCCTCTGCACCACCCGATGCAGAGGCTCCTCTCTGCCAGCCGCCATGGAATTGCAAGCTCATTGGTGTTCGTCCCCTGCCCGCCACCGCTGCAGACATTGTAATTGCTGTTGTTGGTCTTCTTATTGTGATGGTTGATGAACTCTGTTAATGGAATGAACTTGCGGGTGCTGATGGTGTTATTGTTGGGAGGAGGAGGAGGAGGAGGAAGAATGAGGCCTGGAATTTGTCGTCCAATTAGGCGGTGGCGGTCTGTTAAGCCGGCGAGTCTCCACGATCGGGATACGCCGGTGAAGCGGATGTTGGCGGAGAGCGTGGTTAATTTTGTGGCTATTGTGTTCAGGAGCTCATCCTGAAGGTTTTGCCAATCCGCCATTGTTGTGTGGGGTTTTTTAGTTTGAAAACAGGGGAGGTTAAATGTCTTTTCTATCTCTGATGAATCTTTTTACTTTTTCAGATGATTTATTTTTCCATTAAGCAAAATGCCTTCGTGGTAATCAAGCTACCAATTTATATCATTGTGGTAAGAGTAGTAGTAGTTGGTTATTAGTAAGTGGAGGTGTCTGTTTCTAGAAGGTGTGCACTTCATTGTTATGCAAAAATAGTTCACATGAATCATTTACAATTTTTGGAATCGATTCTGCACATAACTCACGTTTCCTTTCATTTTTTTGACTTAGAGAACATAACCATTGTGAGAGAATTTGTTCTCGACTTTTTGTTCATCCTATGTTTTGTCGAACTAACATTATTTTGATTTTAGAATATGATCTCATTGGAATGAACTCATAAACCCCGATCCAGTTAGTGTGGCTTGATCATATGGAATGATTTCAAATTTGATATTGGTTAAATCGAATGTATATAATAAAAAATGTATAGCTTAATCAAATTTGATTTATAGGATAACTCTTTCTGCTATTATTTTAAATGAAGTGTTTAAAAGATGTCCAAACTTTATTCATCAAACAAAACGAGGTGTTTGAATCCCAAAGTGGTCAAAATACAACCAATAGGCCAGTACATTGTACACTGGTGGGGTGCATAAAAACATGTAATTGTGTAGAAAGTGCATGGCCTATAGAAGTAAGGTAATAAGCTACAATTCACCTATCAATACACATGCTCTATCCTAACTTGTCAAAGACGAGCTTACCGCAGTTTGATTTCCGCTATGCACATGTAATGTGGGTGTCAAGGTGTCATAGTTTCTATGAGCGTCTTAATTATAAATGAGTCTGTATGAAAAACATCCGAACACCCATCATATATCTCTATTGAGAAAACACTTCTGCTGATTAATTAACTAATATATATGAAATTATCATTTTATATTTATTTCCTTATTATATAGGAACTTTGAATTGGATCATAAATAAAAAAACTAGTAGAAATAAAATAAATATTTAGAATTCTTACCCCACTCATATACGGAACTAAGCAGTCACTCCAACTCTGCACATTACCAAGAGAAAAACTGAAAAAAATCATGGTAACACTTTCTCCCCAAACGGAAATAAAACAAAACAAATGCCAACAAATTAAATCGCAAAGCCCATCAGCATGACATCAACTAACTAACGATCTTCGCATCAAGTCTGAACAGTGAACATAGATACACCACCACCTGACCAATATAAAAAATAATAACAATTAATCAATAATCATATCCTTAATTTCTAATGAATTATAAAAAAAAATCATTACCACACTCAAATCATAATTATAAATTAATTCCCCACAAATAATTACACGTACATACATACCCTGGTAGTACTTTTCCTTTACTGATTTGGAACAACAAATAATTCTAAATCCATAGAGGAATAGTTAATATATAAGCCGCGACTTAATTATAAAGCTCTTACCCTCAATTGCAAGATGGAGATCATATTGTCCCCGTGAACCACCGCGCGCCACCAACATAGCTAATTTTCACTACTGCTTAAGTCTCCTCTTCCGCCGTCCATAGCAATATGACGGCCAGTACCACCGTCAAGGTCATCGCCAAGGACAAGAAACGACGCCGCACCACTTACCACGGCCGCAACAAGAAAGTGCTAGTCTTGGCGGAACTCCCACTTTTCCCTCTCACTCCCGGCGACCTCAACCCGCCCCCAGACCCCGCCGCTCCCGTCGCCGGGGATCCGAACGTCGACGACGACGCATTATTAATGCTCCGCTTGGGCATTAATATTCCTAGTAATGATCAGGCGAATATGATGGTAGTCGGGTACGTATCAAAATCGCGTTTTAAAATTTAAATGCTTAAATTAAAATACTTCTATGTAAAATCGCGTTTTTTCCCTTTACAATTGTAGTTAAAATCTACACTATAAAGATTAGAAACTTACTTTTTTACGATTCCAAATTACCAAATCGATTCTACGTAAAATCACGATTTTGACTGCATTGCGTTTCTGATTAAGTACGTCGCTGCATGCATGCAATAAATAAAAAAACCCTAGCTAGGGCTATGTAACTCATTCGTCGAATTTCTTGTCTTAATTAGGCACGAGGCGGCGATGGTGGAGGAGGAGGCGGAGAGGGAGGTGGCGTGGACGATAAGGAAGGTGTTGACGAAGAGCGACACCAACGACTGCTCGAGGCTGTTGATAGCAAACGACTTAGCGCGGCAGCACGTGTTTCCGTACCTGACGGCGGAGGCGGCGGAGAGGGTGGAGAGCGGCGGGTGCAAGGCGGAAGGGGCGGCGGACGTGGTGGTTTGGGACGTGGACACGGGTTCGGAGCACCGGCTGCAGTTCCGGAGGTGGAACTCGACCCGGGGCTACGTGTTCAACAATGAGTGGACGGGAGGGTTTGTGAGGAGGAGGGAGCTCAAGGAAGGTGACGAGGTTGGTCTCTGCTTTGACGGCCGACGTGGACGGTTCGTCTTCTCCGTTCTTAAGCGAGCAGCAAATTGATTTGTGTTGAACTGTTGATTGACTTATTAGGGGGATTTGTTGGATTTCTTGATGAGCAAAGTACAGAACAGAAAATTGGCGGGGGTGATTTGTTGGGACACTTTGGGGGGTTTAGGGTTTCTCTGTTTGTTGTTAATGATAATCTATATATTTGTTTTAACCAAATGGTCACGAATAGCTTGTTAATTGTTGTGATCATGTGTTAATCGTAATTATCTATATTTTTATATGTGATGAAGATTGAGGAGCTTGTTATTGTGATGTAATTGTCTGTTGGTGTGATGATAGTATTTAACGGATGAAGAAATTAATATAAATGACAATGGTGAAGCTACATATAGTTTAGGAGGGGCTATAATTCTCCCTTTCAATTTTGGATCTAAGGTTCTAGTGTGTGTTCGTACCTATAGAATATTAGAAAGTTGTAGAACGTGAACTATCATCTGTTCGTCCTTCAAAATTTAGGTTCAATTATATGAAGTTTCTTGCAACTTGTTATTTTCATTCTCGATTTCCTCACTTTAAATTCTAACTTCACCAGTAATAACGGTGGTCTTTGAGTGCAAGTAACATAGCACAGTATATGGCTGATGAAATTGATTTAAAATTTATAAGAAATGATACCAAACTATTAAATTTTCATTTACAAAATGTCACTTTTAAAATTTATTGTTTTGATATATTGCTGATAAGCTAATTCAGTTGTAATGTTCACAAGAAAAAAATTATTCTTATAAATAATCATCTTGAATTTTCTTCAAATGTGGAAGACCATTAATTTTTTTTATACGACAAGACAAAGCTATGCTTTTTAAGAGAAATCATCTAAAAATGGAGGACACCAATTTTCCTTCACTAATTACTAATTAGTTAGTTCACCATATTTTTTATTTAGTTTATTTTAATACTCGGAAGAAAACCATAACAACAAGGTCGTTGTAGTATAGTGGTAAGTATTCCCGCCTGTCACGCGGGTGACCCGGGTTCGATCCCCGGCAACGGCGATGTTTTATATATTTTTGCTGCTAATCCGCTGCCTGGACTCTGGTCACACCAGGACAAACGACAAACTGCAAACTTTCTCCTACATTGTAAAATACAAAACCCATCTCGTATGGAAAGGCGACAAATGGAGTTGATTCTGTCCGATTACAGAAACAAAATCCAGAGAAGAACCAAAATCAGAACCCATTTTATTATATATGATTACTTTTTTTTATTCCATGCCAATATGAACAACAGCTACTCGGCAACTTCCAAATCGCATGCACATTACCACCATCAATTCCACGGGAGAGGAGGCAATGAATGAAAGAGCCAAAAGAACAGACCGTCAGGCAAATGAATCTCAGCAGCAGCAACCAATACCGTAGAGAACATCTGGCTTCATCATATTATTTGAAGAACCTAAGAAGAAAAGTTGCAGAATGAACTCCTAGCAGCAGCTTTGGAGACAGATTTAATATAATACAACGTAACCCCCAATAGCACATTAAGAATGAAACTCTATCCTCTCTAAAGAAATCTGTACTTCATTCCCTGCTATAACTTTTTCTTGAGCTACACACTTTATGCACAATATTTGTGTTTCCTATCTCTAACTCCCTACTCTAAACCAATGGCTTCCAGAACCGAAAAAGGGAAAGATCAAAACTTTCAATTGTACATCTTACAACATCATTCTCTTCCCTGGTCACCTCCCAATCGATGCAAGTCGGACTCTTGCTTTCCAAAAAGCAATGCTTCTTTCTGATTCTTCATTTGAGTGGTTGAGTCTACTATACCCGAGAAAATGGAGATATTGGAGGCTTGAGCTTGTAAGACTGCTGCTTTTTTTCCAATTTCTTACAAGGTTTCTTCTTCTCTTCCTCCGTCACTGCATCGATCAAGAACTTGACCTCTTCCTCTATTAGTACCTTCAGCGAGTTGCAATGTGGCAGCATCGGCTTCTTCTTCCTTCTGCTATCCCCAACTGCGCTTGCAGCTTCTGAGCCGTGCAGCATGGCAACGCAGATGGAAAATGCTTGTAAAGTGGATAGCTTTGCATGGAAATCGACTGCATACTCGCCTTCTTCCACTACTCTCATCATAAGTGCTGGTGTCTTCTCTTTCGTACCCTGCAACACGACATTCAGAATCTTCTTATAGCCAATGGCAGAAGTGAAAGAGCCACATAATAATAGCTAGAGCCTAGAAGGACAAAAGATGACCATATATGCACTATTACATTAAGAAGAAAGCTAAGACTGCTAATGATAATCTCATCTGATCACTAAATTCCGTACAATTAAGGAACTTTCCACTGCAAAATTTTCAGTTACCAATAGATGATTGTTCACCTGAATAAAGAGCTCCAACGGCTTCTGGCTATCGACGAGAGGTTCATCTTCACCACATTGGATGTCAGGATTTCCAAAAACATTGAGGGGACATGCCATATCCCATCCCCCAC